AAAACTTTGCTGCTTGGTCTCTTCAGCTGTCCTTATGTGTTGCTTTACTGCAGAGTAGAATGGAAGATTCTCTCTCTCTCTCTCTCTCTCTCTCTCTCTGTGTGTGTGTGTGTGTGTGTGTGTGTGTGTGTGTGTGTGTGAGTGTGAAGCTGGTGCAAACTCAGAGAAATAATTTTCAGCTGGGTATATGTCCCATGACTGCCTCAACTAAACTCAAAAAACCCATTTAATGGTTCTGTCACTTGCAACAGACTTGGCATAGCACATGCAGTAAGAGTTGTGATGGAAGCATTTTGTGAACAAATGAAAAAGACTGTAGTTAGACCTCAAGGTAGTCTCAAGATAATTCTCCCATCATCGCTTGACTTTGTTAATAATCAGATTAATTCTCATAAAATTAATGTTGAATTGGACAATATAGCCACAAGTATGATAAGTTTTGTATAATTGTGGAAGGGTAATATTTGGTACCATTCACAAATTCATATTTTTCCACTTTACCCACTACTTTCTCATCCTTTTTAGTTCTTAATGTCCCTATTAATACAGATGGGAGCAGTAGAGCTCTATGAGTTATGTCCTAGGGGCATTGTCAGAGGACAATTAGGGCAAAACATAGGCTTTGAGTCTGCAAAGAGTTTTTTTGTTTTTTTACAAGTTTATAGACAATAAACTTATCTAGCTAACAATTTCATATGCTCAAATTATAAGTGCTGTTTGAATGGAATGTTTGAAATTCTAGATGCTGCAAATTATAAATAGTAAGAAAACCACAGATTATAGAATTTACTTTATATAGCACCAGTATACCACAAATAATATGAAACAGTTTTTCTTTCTGAAAAGTTAATACTTTAAATTCTATGACAGTGTGATTGGAATACATCAGAGGCTAACTAAGGTGAAGTAAGATAATTTTTGGTTGTGTTTAATTGAGAGTCTTATGGAACTGAGTATTGGATGATGATGACATAGACTCTTAGAGACATTCAAATGCATTTCTAGTGAAGAACCTCCGAACTTTAGGATTCTCTGCTTGAATCTGTGGACAGAGACCTTCTCCACTAGGATTCAGAGGGATCTAAGTCATAAAGGAGTATTTTAGGCTTGTAAGCATTACATTTGTGTAACACCTAAAGTCGAGTGACTGAGTCAGAGTCAGAAATCTAACAAAGACCTTAGTCCAAAGAGGTGGTCTAGCAAAGACATGCATCATTTGAGGAGCAACTACTGTGCAATAGTGTGGTGACCTGAGTCCCAGTAGGTCGTCTATCAACAAAGGAGCTGTGAAGTAGGAGGAATTATATCCATGGCTCAGACAAGTACCAGAATCCTTTGTGTAGAAAGGGAAAAAACAAAATGCCAAAGCAAACCAAAATTCAGAGAGATAATCACCAACTCCCATGTTAGGGTTATGGGGGAAAATTCTGCCTTTGAAGGTAGTCACCTATGGCTTCAAGGTGCATGAATCCACAGCAACATCCCAGGGGAAGCCCTTGTGCTGTGCTAGAAGAGATGCGGTCTCCTTTTCCAAGTGTGTTTCCACATCTGCACTCAGGTGACATTCCAGCAATCATGGCAGGAGAACAAACACGTAGGGAGCATCACCTCGGACTGAAGTTTCTTCTATGAAGCTTTAAATCTCCCAGTCCTCACGTCACCCACCACCAACTAATGCCATTCAATGCTCCTTTTGTGTCTTACTTGCTTACCATATTAGAATTTTTCAATGTCATTTTAACTGTTCAACTTTTAAATATTGTTCCAAGGGATAGAGATGCCTTTTATTTTTGAAAAATAAATAATGTTTCACAGATGGCATTTTGGCATTAAATGATCTTTCAAAGAATGACAGGTTTTCAAAAAAGTAGTAAATGCATTATCTTAACATGATTGAGTCATTAAATAAAATGCATCTATCTTTTATTAAGTAGCATTTGTATAGAAAATATGATTTAGATGAATTCCACTGAAAAATAATTGTCAAGGCACATTTTTGAACTAATAATAGCCAGGACAATTATTTGTGCTGCTATGGGGTGATCAGAGTAGAGGGATGTTTGAATAAACAGGAAGACATATCTTGTTTGGGGCTGAGCAAGTGAACCACATCAGAGCTGATGGTGCTAAGGAAACAGATTCCATGTGGAGTACAGTTAAAGTTGGATTCCTCAACAGAAATTCCCTAGGGATACACAAAAACTGGTTTAGAGTAAAAATAAATGTAATGTACATCTGAAATGACAATTCTTGCAACTGTCATTCTCAAGTAGGGATGCACATCCTACCAGAGATCTACAGTGTTCTCTCCCACTTGTGTGAACCCTCAAAGTGCCTCCCACACTGTATGGCAGGACACTCACAGGACTCTGAGCAATGTAAGGACCCCCCCCCCCACACACACACAATCCCCCTGGGATGCTTATGCTTTCAGCCTGCAGAAACAGCTGTAGGTCCCCAGGAACAAGTGGAAACCAGATTAATCTCAAGAGAGACACCAAAAGAGCCTTTGATGAGGAACACACAGAGGCCTCAGTCACAGGGTCTGTGTGTCAGAGAGTTCAGCATTCTTCTTGAAACCTCTTCCTAGCTCTCCACTGAGGACTTAATTCCCACACAGCCTCTAGGGAGCTGCTGTACCATCTTCCCTGGAGCTGCAGCTGAGGTTCCCTGCAGAGCTTATGGCTGGAGTAATGTCATATAATGGCTCAGTAATGTCATTGGGAGGAGAATTTGGTGCATTCTGACAATTGTTACCTGATTCCCTTAGGGCACTTTTTCTGCCTTTACCAAATGTCAGATCCACTAACCAATGATAAGAACCTAAATTAGAAATAGAAAGATGCCTGAATTTCATGCTGTTTTGAATTTGAGCAAGTGACAGCACTCAGGAGTCTCATGGATGTGGAGTTCAAACTAGTATTTTATGATCTATTTCAACTTGCATCTCTGCTGTAGATTTTAGAAATATCACTCCAGAGTATCCAGAAATGATATAAGAAAATTGTTGTGAAAATATCTTGATTCACCAAGATTTAATTACTACTAAATTATGAATCCACTTATCAAATATTACAAATTTTAAACTCACACATCCATATATGATATATATATATGTATATATATATACATATATACACACACACACATACATATGTATGCATTAGATCTATAAACTTTAGAAAAGTCTGTCCAGAAAATGGAATAGAATCAGAGGAGAAGTCAGCATTTAATTTTCAACAGTGCATAGAAGATGCAAGCATCAATGAGTGAAGATAAAATGGAGTTCTTCAACAGCACTGCACACTGGTTAAAACAAACAGGCCTGAACAGAACCTGTCACCAGCTATAGCAGGGAACACATTTTTTTTTTCTGTCCTGCTCTTGGAAAATTATCACCATAGATGAAGCCCAAACAAGTCTTATCAAATTTCGGAAGATCAATGTCACTAAAACTGTTTTGAGGACTAAATTGCAAAGCAAAAGTAGAAGACTAACTGATAAGTTCCTGGATATGAGGAACTAAAATAACACATTTGTTTTAAGCTCTTGGGTCAAATACGACATCAAAAAGAATTACAAATATCATACCGTAAACGAAAATGCAAATACAACAAGTAAGAGAAAGACAGCAAGTGCTATGATGGAGACTGTGCTTCGATTGCTCAGAAAGAGATGCCTCCATTGCGGGACTGCTTCAAACTCCAGCTTCCAGATATCCCAGTTCCCAAGTCTGAAAAATATCTATTCAGTGTTGGGAACTTTGCTTCATAACAGAACCAAAAATTCAACATGAGAAAACCTGTATGGGCCAAGAGTGAGTCACAAATCCACTGTCCCCAGGGATACAAAGAATGACCCTGCAGTGTAATCTCAGCCACCGACCCAGCACTCCACACTCAACCAGCCATGCAGGGCCTGCCTTAGCACATTGCAACATAGCTCATTGTGCTTTTATAAGGCAGTGAGATTAATTGCATAAGCTTTCCTACCCATGGCTCTAGTACTGAAGTTTAGAAAAAGCTGTGGAAACCATTGTTCAAAAAATAGTGCTGTTTTTTATATTTCTAGAAAATTAATTTTTCCCTATAGTTCCAGTTTTTGGGCCTCAGAACCAAATAATTGGTTTTGCATTTTCTTTACAGGAAACATATTCAAGTCTCGAAGTTTTTGTTGTTGGAACACACTTTTGGAGTAAAGTAAGTTCAATAAACAGATTGTCACTGGGTCAGTAAAGCACAAAACCTGGAGACATCCTTCTCAACAGCCACATGTGATGTAGCTGAGATTTTTACCCCGGAAAATACACTGCCATCTTCTGGGCCAGTGACAGTGACAGGGACTCTTACAGAAAAACCTAAGGAAAGTGGGTTGAAAAGAAAACCTGGCATTTAGAGCTCTTCGGTGACCTGATTTCCAAGTCTGGGCCAAGGATCCCATCATGGGGCAGTGACAGTGGCATCCAGCCCTGAGTCCCTCACAAACTGCAGCTTCATGGCTGAGGATGCCTCTCTCACCGCAGCAGCAGCAGGGTGCAAAGTGGTAGCAGTATGCTGCCTGACTGTCTTCAAGAGGGCTCCGAATACTATTGCTAAACCACGTAGATGGTTTTGATAAATATTCAGAATATTTTTATGTATAGAAATTTATAGAATTAAACTTCAAATGCAAAACGATGCTGTGATGGAGTTTCAAGCTTTTGGCCAGTGAGAAATTTTGGGGGCTAAAAAATGCACAGCAGTCTCTATTTCTTAGATTTTACTATGTGGTCCCTATAGAGCAGGAGATTATAGTTCACTGTCACAGAGAAAACGTAGAGACATTATTCCATGTACTGTGTCTTTTCACTTCAATATTTAAAGTCTCAAAGCTCTTCTTTAACAATTTGCCTCCAGGAGGAAACATACAATTGGCAAAAACACTTTCACAAATCTGGTCTGACCTGGATATCTGGGTACATTGGGCCTGAGCTGAGTTACTGAGGTGAATCAGCCCTGCAACTGTGCCCAACCATGCCCAACACCTGCTGATTTGCATGTCCCCAGGACACAGCCCACTGCCTTCAAACTTTTTAACAGGCTGCTTACAGCATGGTCAGGATTCAATCCCAGTCAGTACACAGCATGAACATGAAGGTCCCTGTTCAGCTCCTGGGGCTTTTGATGCTCTGGCTGCCAGGTAAGGATGGGCAGCACTGGAGATTTCCTCAGCACATTGTGTTCAGGGAAGCCTGAATTTCATGGAAGACTTCTTAAAACATAATCCTGTGGATATTTCTGTTTATGTCTCCAATGTCAGGAACCAGGTGTGACATCCAGATGACCCAGTCTCCATCCTCCCTGTCTGTGTCTCCTGGAGACAGAGTCACCATCACTTGCAGAGCCAGTCAGGGCATTTATAATGCTCTAACTTGGTTTCATCAGGAACCAGGGAAAGCTCCTAAACTCCTGATCTATTCTGCAAGATTTCTGCAACCTGGGATCCCATCCAGATTCAGTGGCAGTGGATCTGGGGCAGAATACACTATCACCATTAGCAGCCTGGAGCCTGAGGATGTTGCAACTTATTACTGCCTTCAGAGTGCTGTCCCCCCTCCCACAGTGATACAAGCCATGACAGAAACCTTCCAGGGAAGCCTAAGTGTGAGGCTGGGCTTCCCCAGCTGCTTCTCCTGATAACAGTCTCCTGTAAACAGTCTCCTGTAAACAGTCTCCTGCTTCTCCTGTAAACAGTCTTTGAAGTTCACAGGGAGGTTTTGGCAGAATGGTCAGGGAGGTTCCAGTGTACTCTAAATCTCTATCTTTCCTGCAGTGCTGGAGGCACTGACATGACAGTGGCTCTGCTGATTGAGGAGAGGACACCGCTGAGCACAGGTGAGAGAATGGATTGTGGGATTGCAGGAGCTGCTGAGATTCCTCCCACAAAGTAGCAGCTCTCTCTGACTATGCTTCTTTCTCTTTTTCACCTTTCCCACTCTCATTCTTCTTCTCCCATTCTCCTTTTCTTTCTTTCTATTCCCCTTTCCCTTTGTCCCTCTCTCTCTGCTCTGTTTTCCTCTGTTATCTGTCTCCTCTCTTTGTCTTCTGTCCTCTCTCTCTCACCCTATCTCCCTCTTCCCCATTACTTTCTTTCTCTCTCTCATCCTCTCAGACTCTCCCTGTCTCCCTATTTTCCTGTCTGTCTCCCTCATTTCATTTCTGAATCTCTCTCTCTGTCTCTCTGCCTCTGTCTCCGTCTCTGTCTCTCTCTCTCTGTCTCTCTCTCTCTGTCTCTCTCTCTGTCTCTCTCTGTCTCTCTCTCTGTCTCTCTCTCTGTCTCTGTCTCTCTCTCTCGCTCTCTCTCTGTCTCTGTCTCTCTCTCTCTCTCTCTCTCTCTCTCTCTCTCTGTGTGTGTGTGTGTGTGTGTGTGTGTGTGTTTCTCTTTCTCCTTCACTTTATCCCTCCCCAGCCAGCGGGAATTGATTCTAGAGCCTTCATACAGAGGTTCATGCCTACCTGTTCTTCTTCGTAACTGGTCCAAGTCTGGGACGGAACTTGAAGTCTTTCTGCTTCAGGTGTGTAAGATGTTAGATGATCTTCCAGTTCCATCATCCATGCTCTGAAAAAAACTTATGGGGAAGTCACACCTAAATACATAGCTTGCTGCTTCCTATTTATGGAAGTTATTATGTCTTTGAATTGAATTCCAAAATTGTGCAGTACTATGTACTATTTTTCTGTAGATACAGGAACTTTTTTCAAGATCATGACTGACCTACGGATGTAACCTGAATACACATTGTTCTGAAGCAATGATCAATTGAACATTAAGATTCTTAATGACAAGTGAAGAATAATCAGTTTTCCATATACAAATATACTGAGAAATATTCTCATCTGCAGTCATGTACTGAAGGTCACATAACAGTTTGCATTAAGGATTGACAAAAGCTGTGATTTTCCTCCTGTGAGTTCAGAGAGCTGAGGTGCTTACACACAGGACATATCTGCATCTATCAGGTTGCCCTGGAGAATGTGCATCCCAGGTCCTTTGATTTGCCTTCTGTGCTTGCTGAGCTGCATTTTTTAGATTGAGAGTGTGCAAGGAGGCACAGATATGGCTGGTGGAAGTCAGCAGAATGACAGGGTAGGTAGGCCTGTGGGGGAGATGTACATGGAGCCAGATGAAGGGGTCTACTTTCCATGTGGAGGTTCCTGTGTCTGAAATTGGATCCAACAGGTCAATGGCAAGCAAGTCCCATTGTGGTTGAGGTCCTAATACAGAAAGCAAAAGATGTGAGAGTGAATAGAAGTGCCTGAGTCTAGAAGCCACAGTTGGCATTACAGAGAGTTTGATAGTAGTCATACGGGGATTCTGGTGCTGCAGGCACAGCTGGATATGTGTTTCTCACCATTGAACCTGATCCAGATCCTCAGGGAACAGCAGTGTATAAGATAGAAGGTGTTCAAATTTGTGCCAAGTTTAGCTGGAGTCAACTTCCTACTCACTGTGTATTGGCACTAGCTTGACCATAAATGGACATGCTTTTCTGGAGATACAGACAGAGAAGCTGGTGCCTGGGTTAATAAGATGCCCACTCACTATCATAGTGAAAGAAAAAGGAGACATTTTTAATAGTTAGAGTGTGACACAGTGCCCAGCATCTGCCCTCCTGTAGCATACAGGGTTTGCTGAGCTGGCCTCTCATCAGGGCCTCCCTGCTCTACCTAAATTCAGGCTCAGAGGGTCTGCACTTGTCCCCAGGAACATGATTGGAGAGTAGGGGCTTGGGTTGCTGGTTAGAGGAGTCCCACAGCTGACCCACTATAGACCTTTTTTCTCAGCTAGAATTATCTGAGATGGATGCTTGAATTTACCCTGTTTTAATGTTTCACCTAATCCAGAGTCCCAGAGTTGAAGAAAGAAAAACAAGTATTTATTAAAATACTTGTATGACAGGCAGCCTTAGGTGTTTCAGCATGCAATGTAGTATTAAATATCAGAAAAGGATAGTATATCAAGATTTTCAAACCTGGAATAAAGTGGAGGAATTCACTCTCTTGGTATGAAATAATCCTGTATCTTTGCACAGTAGCAGATTTCTTTTCTTCTTATTATTTGAAATTTAAAGAGAATAATTACCAACTTTTAAAAAAAAGCAAATCAAAACAGAAAAATGCAAGCAATAAAAGATTTTACAACAGGATATCAAACAGAGCTACCATAATATCTCTTGTTTTCTTCAAAATAGTTGATCATCACATACAATAATATCATATACAATATCACATACAATAATATCAAACATAACAAAAGAGTATAAAAGCAATCAAAAGAATGAAAGCATTCCAGAATTTCAAATCACATAATAAGAAAAGAACAATGGTAACTCTATCTCATTTTCTTCAAAATATTGTCATACTATCACACATAATAAAATCAATTGAAACACAGCAGAATAGAACCAATCAAAACAAAAGAATAAAAGCATGACAGGCCTTCAAAACAAGATGATAGAAAACCAGCAATGGCAACCATACTGTCTCATTTTCTTCAAAATAGCTGTCTGTACCATCATACACAGTAAAATGAAACGAAACAAAACACGATATCACCAATTAAACAAGCAAATGAAAGCATTATAATACTTCATAACAAGAAAATAGGAAACCAACCTTGATTTCCATAGTATATCCCATTATGTTCACAAGAGCTGCCCATACCATACATAAGGCAGAGTAAAATTTAACAAAACAAGACAGAACGAGGGCAAACCTAACACAATTGTGGAAACAGTGTAAGAGTTCAAGACAAAACAATAAAAAATTAACAGTAGTTTCCAACTTTCCCTCGCAGGGGTTTCCTCCCCTAAGTTTTACAATAACTATTTTGCTTTTTTGGATGCCATTAACTCCTTCTGTTTCTTATGCAAGAATTCACACATATGAGTTCAAACTGTTTTGGCCTAGTGATGGATGTAGTGTCAGCTTCATAACTAACTGTGAAGAGACTCCGCGGCCAGACTCGCTGGGAATCTCCATTCCCAGGAGAAAGCTCCAGGGAAAGCTCCTAGGCTCCTCATCAATGTTGCAAACAGTTTGGCTTCCGGAGTCCCATCCAGGTTCAGTGGCAGTGGATCTAGGACAGATTTCATTTTTGCTATCAGCACAGTGGAGGCTGAAGATGTTGGAACTTACTACTGTCAACAGTATAGCAGTACCCCTCCCACAGTGATACAAGCCATAACAAAAACCACCCAGGAAGCAGAAGTGTGAGGCTGGGCAGCCCCAGCTGCTCCTCCTGGTGCCCCCTCATCCTGACAGCATTTTTCAAATGTAAATAGGCTTTGAAATTCACTGGGAGGCTTTGGCAGAATGGTCAGGGAGCCTCTTTTGTTCCCCAAGTCTCTATGCACTGCTTAGCCCAGCCACATAGACAGAACAATGCCTGTGCTCATTTCATAGAGGACACAGCTCAGCTCAGGTGGGAAGCAGGGATTGTGAGATTTTAGCAGCAGCTGAAATTCATGCCACAGAGCAGAAGTTTATTTTTCTGTCTCTGTCTGTCTTTTTGTCTTTGCCCTTGATCTTTCCCAGCCTTCAACTTAGAATTAATTCTAGGCTCCCCACCTGTGTTACACTCCTATTCTTGTCTGCTTCTAATTACTTAGGACAGGGCTTGAATTTGGGATCTTTCTACTTCTGCCTTCCAGTGTGCTAGGATTACAGGCCTGTGCCATCACCCAGGCTGAGCCCAAACATGTGGAGGAACCACTCACCAGGTTTGGAACTGCTTGCTTTAATCTATGGAAATTAATCTGTCTTTGAATTTAATTACCCAAGATTCCATAGTACCATACACTGTTTTCCATTGCTGTGGGACTTTTTTCTAGGACTATGACTGTGCTTGTGAAGTGACCCCAATACACCATATAGAGAGGAGAAGATCAATTCAACATTAAAAGTCTTAATCACAAAAGAAGAAAGCAGTGCTGTTTCCCTATTCTATTGACAAGCATTAATGATAGCACTTCTCAAGTGCAGTCAGGCTCTGAGATTACAACATAGTTTAGTATAACGATGAAGAAAGACTATGAGCTTCCTCTGTGAGTTCTGAAAACAGAGGTGCTTACAGGCAGCACTTATCTTCATCTGTTGGGCTGTCCTGGAGAATGGTCATTCCAGGGTCTCAGCTTTACTTTGTCTTCTGACTGTGTTATCTTTTTAGCTTCCAGGAATTCAAGCAGGCACACATATGCCTCATGATATCAATGGAATGACAGTGAAGTTAAGATTCCAGTGAGCTATACATGGACCTGGATGAACTAGGTGCACTTTCCATATGGAGATGCCTTGGTCTGAAATTGCATCAAACATGTCAGTGCCATGCAAATTTCCTTGATGTTCAGATTTTAACAGAAAAAGCAGTAGGTGTGAGTGCAGGCTAAGCTGCCATGGTCTATCAGCCATAATCATGCATCACAGAGAGCTCTCAGGAGTCCTCATACTCAGGGACAATGTGGCAGGAGGCATATGTGGATATGTGTCTCTAGCTCTGAACATGATTGGGACACTCAGAGAATAGCTGTGGTTTGTGATAGCAGGGTTTCATGTCCTTGGCCAAGTTTTAGTAGAGCAGGAATAGAGATGTTGTCCTGAAGACGCAGAACGACTTGTGTGACTAGGTTAGTAAGGTG